TAACTAAGGGAGATCATTGTAAAGGAAGGGGCCACATAGCTAATTTTTGACTCTAAATCTCAGCTATAGTTCTCTTCTTGGACAGTCTCAAACCCAGAAGCCAGGAAACCTCTAACAAACCGTGAGGATATGGTTGCCACCTGCTGGTAAATGCTGGGACAGCTCAATGATTTTTGGCTGCCTGAGCATACTAGCAGAGGAGAGCTCCCCGTTGCAAGATATCAGGGAAAAGGTAGTCACAGGTCCTTTATGCTTAGTCTCACTCTTTGATTTCACATGCTTCATTGACATGTAAGATGAAGGCCTACTCTGATAGAAAAGCCCTACCAAAAACAAAAACTAGTAAGTGTTTGTTCTGTCAGCACTGTCCTTGGGTTTGGGACAAAGGTTCACAACTAAAGATAACTATCTTTCCTCACAGTTTTTCTACTAGGCTGGTAGAGTGGCCCCAGTGGTAAAGGATCTATGTAGCAATCTCAAGGCACTGAGATCAAATCCCAGTATATATATAGAAAAAGATTTTCTTCTAAATAAAAACTTGCATAAGCACAAGATACATGTGGTTACCTCCTGAATCTGTACAATGTTATATCCATTTAGGAAATTGAACAATACTTATTCATGGGCTTAGTAACCAGTTTGGAGAACCCAGAAGTGCTGACAGGGGGTAAAAAAGTCAGCCTACTCAAGGCACTGGGTTTGAACCCAAGAACCACAGAGCAGAGGAACCATCAAGAAAAGGAAAAAAAAGAATAAAGAATTAGGGGGGCTGGGAAGGTGGCTCAGTGGTAGAGCGCTTGCCTTGCATGCCTGAGGCCCTGGGTTTGATTCCTCAGCACCACATAAGCAAAAAGAAAAAAGCCGGAAGTGGCACTGTGGCTCAAGCGGTAGAGTACTAGCCTTGAGCTGAAGAGCTGAAGAACAGCGCCCAGGCCCAGAGTTCAGGCCCCACGACCAGACCCCACCCCCCAAAAAAAAAGAATTAGGAAAAGTAGAAAGGGGAAAAAAAAGGATACATTAAGTGGAGAGGTAATCGTGAAATAACATTAGTAACTATCATAAATGCTTCTGGGATACTAAAACTTGTAAGATTGTTTAGTTTGGAGTTATGATCACAATTAACCAGAGGAAAAAGCTTCTCCTTCCCTTCTTTCTTGAATCTCTCCTTCTCATTTTTGTAGTAGGGATTGAACACAGGGCCTTGTGCTAATTACTAGGAAAGCACTCTACTATTCTACTCTACCCTTAGTCCTTTGCTCTTAGTTTATTTCAGATAGTTTCACACTTTTGCTGGGGCCAGACCTAAACAACGATTCTCCTACTTTTGCCTCTCAAATAGCTTGGATTATAGCTGTTATTACCATACCTCACTTGTTTTTGAGAGAGTTTCACTCATTTTTGGCCTGGCTTGGCCTTGAACTTCCATCCTCTTCTGCCTCCTGAACAGCTGTGATGACAAGCAGGCACTACTCTTCCCAGTCTCAAGAGTAAATTCTATGCCTGCCTAACAAGCACAAAGCCCTGAATGTAAAGCCTAGTACTTCCCTTCCCCACTCAAAAAAAGTAAATTTCTAGCCTGATGCTTGTGGCTCATACCTATAATTCTAGCTACTTGGGAGGTTCAGATTGGGAGAATTATGGGTTGAAGCCATCCTGGGCAGAAAAGATCTTGAGACCTCTTCTCAACTGATAGCTAGGAACCTGTCATCCCAAACTACATGGGATGCTGAGATCACAAAAGGTAGTGGTTCTAGATCAACCTGCAAGGGAAAGTCCATGAGACTCCTTCTCAATGAAAGAATCTGGGTGCATGGTATATACATATCACTTCAGCTACCTTGGGGAGATTAAAATAGGTGGACTGCAGTCTAAGCATACAACAGGGCAAAAAGCAAAACATCATCTCAAAGATACTCAGTACAAGTTGGACACTGGTGGCTCACACCTGTAATCCTAGCTACTCAGGAGGAGGCTGAGATCTGAAAATCGCAGTTCAAAGTCAGCTCAGGCAGGAAAGTCTTATCCCCAATAAACTTACTCAGAAATAGCCAGAAGTGCTGTGGCTTAAGTGGTAGAGCACTAGTCTTGAGCAAAAAGCTCAGGGACAGTGCCTAATCCCTAAGTTCAAGCCCAGGACCCGCCAAACAACAACAACAACAACAAACACAAAACAGGGCTGAAGGTGTGGTAAAGCAGTGAAGAATCCCAGTACTGTTCTCTCCCCACAAAAAAAAAATGAATGAATGAATTTCTGAAAGAATAGAGCTCTGAGTTCTGTTCATCAAATAATAATCTCCTACCTCCAATTCCTAGTATCTAACCTAGTACTACTCCCATTGTAGAAGATGAGTACCAACAGTTTACCTACTGACATTCAGGATCCAATGGCAGGGATTCAGTCTGATGCAGTTTGGGGTTTAGATTTATCACTTGGATATTCAACTAAAAGTTTTAGTGCTAAATGACTACTCATTTCTATATTCCTCTCCTTATTTATCTGTGGTGCCAGAACTGGGGCTTGAACTAAGGGCTTGAGCACTGTCTCTTAGCTTTTTCATTCAAGGCTGGAACTTAACCACTTGAGCCATAGCTCTACCTCTGGCTTTTTACTAATTGGAGATAAGAGTCATGGATTTTTCTACCCAGGCTAGCTTTGAACTAAGATCCTTAGATATCAAGCTCTTTACTAGCTCAGCTCCTCTCCTACTCTTGCTGTGTCTAGGTATGCATGGCACATAGGAGGCAGATAGAAGAAAAGGGAATGGGTGCCAGTGGTTCACATCTATCCTAGCTCCTCAGGAGGCTGAGATCTGAGGAACATGGTTTGAAGCCAGCCCAGCAGCAAAGTCCATGGGACTCTTATTGTCAATAAACTACCCCCCCCCCAAAAAAAAAGCCAGAAGTGGAGCTCTAGCTCAAGTGATAGAGCAATAGTCAGGGACAGAGCTCAAGCCCTGAGTTCAATATCAAAAGGAAGGAAGGAAGGAAAGAAGAAAGGGGGAGGGGCTGGGAAGGGGCTCAGTAGTAGAGCGCTTGTCTTGCATGCATGAGGCCCTGGGTTCGATTCCTCAGCACCACATAAGCAAAAAGAAAAAAGCCAGAAGTGGTGCTGTGGCTCAAGTGGTAGAGTACTAGCCTTCAGCTGAAGAGCTGAGGGACAGCGCCCAGGCCCAGAGTTCAGGCCCCACAACCGGACTCCCCCCGCAAAAAAAAAGAAGAAGGAAGGTGGAGAGGGAGGGAGGGAAGAAGAGAAGGGGGGTAGAGAGAGAGAGAGAGAGAGAGAGAGATTAAAATATACACATTTCAGGAAAAAAAGTAAAAAATATTGGGACCATGGGAAAGGCCGTCACACATTTTTAAAAGCATAGTAGGAAAGTTGGAGGGAGTAGTACAGAGTTTACCCATTTACAGTTTGAATTAAGATGCAGACAGAGAAAAACATATATATACTCTTTCCATAAGGAGCAAAGGAATATGACATAAATAAGACATAATGGTAAACAAGACAATGGTAGAAAATAGGACTTTGTAGAGATTCCTTTGGGGGCTAAGATGAAGGACTAGAATGATTTGCATGTGGGTTACATTAGATACAAAGTAGTATTTTCCTAGATCTTCACTATTTCTCTGGCTTTGTTTTACAATATTTGGCATGAGGAAGTTCAGGGCCATCCTGGAATCTTTCTACTTTAGTTTCTAGTTCCCTAAGTATCAGTGCTTGGAACCTGCTTCATATACTTAGAGAGAAGATGTATGTAAGGTCATGTTGGACTGACAGGGGGACAAAGGAGCCTGGCAAGCAAAACAAGGAAAGAGTGCAAATATGGGCTGCTGATAGCCAGGGTATAGGTCAATATAAAACACAGGGATCTGCTTATGAAGAAGTATCTCAGCACAAATCTGTTAAAGTTAAAAAGATGGTTTTGAGAGCTGGGGATATGGCTTAAGTGGTAGAACACATATCTAGCCTAACCTGCACCAGGCCCTAGTTTCAATACCACACACACACACACACACACACACACACACACGCACACACGCACACACGCACGCATGCACGCACACATGCACGCACACATGCACGCACGCGCAAAGTTTGAAACCTAGAACACAAAATTTCCAGTTCAGAATAAAGCCTGATGCCTCTTAGGATGAAGACTTTTATGGTTTGCCTCCTTCAAACCCTACTTTGTAACATCTAGCAGGTCAGAGGCAGGAGAAAGATATAGTCCCTTTAAGACAATTTCTGGAGGTTTGATTATTTTCTTATTTATGTGGAGAAAGGATCTCTCTATGTAGCCCATGCTGGCTTCAAACTCTTGATCCTTCCACTTTAGCCTGAGTACTGGGATGACAGTAGTGCATACTATGCCTTGCTGGTCAGCCAGTTGGTCAGATGGTCAATCTGTCAGTCTGTATGCCTGTCTCTTTCTTTTTTGTGTTGGTACTAGGGCTTGAACTGAGTTGGGGCCTTGAGCTCTTGATAGGTTTTTTTCCACTGTAGGATGGCACTCTACACTTGAGCCACACCTTCACTTCTGGCTTTTGCTGGTTAACTAGGAATAAGAGTTTCATCGACTTTTTGGCATGGGTTGCCTTCAAACTGATTCTGTCAGACTAAGGTGGAAGCTATAATCTTTTTAATCTCTCTATAGGAATATACTGAGCAAAATCACCTTGTCAATTATATAGGACATGAAGGTAGAGAGAATAAAGTAAAAATATAGTATGGGGTAAATTCTCATATTTTCTCTGTATAATTTTTATGAAGATGAAGAAGTATAAAGCATAAAATCCTAGGCTACCTCTACTAAGTACTTTGGCCAAATATTTGCCCTTACTTTCCTGTTCCCACAACTACCAATGAGAAATGGAGAAGGGCGTGGTATATTTCCAAAACTGGATCCTTTCTGCCACCCACAGCACAAGAGACATTACTGTACTTCTAGAGCTTGCATGAATCAGAGCAGAGGGGGCTTTGACACTGAGTGGTGACTCACCTGTGAGATCATGTGATTATTCAAGGGTGGTTGTTGCTGAGGAGTGGGAGGGAGAACAGGAAGTTGTTGTTGCTGCTGCTGCTGCTGGGCAGTACAAGGGAGAAGGCCCCGAACAGACTGGGGTGAGGTGACCTGGTTACACACTTCTGGGGCACCTAGTGCCATACCTAGACAAAAAGGAGACCCATCAAAGTTATAAGCACAAGCCATGAATATACTCCCCCAAAGGACTCGGCTGCAGGTGTCTACTTTTTCTTTTCCCATTCTACTCACTCCCACCTGTCCACTCTTCCACTATCTTTTGGAGATCTATACATTTCAGCCACTTGTTGATGTGAGTTTACCTCCCATGAAACCTGAATGAAATGTGAAGCTAAAATAAGCCATCTCTCTAGAAGTGTCTAAAAAATCTGTTCCTCCTAAAGAAATGGCTGAAAACACAAAGCCTTATTTCCTAGAAAGGTACAGATTACATCCCTTATGGAGTCTGTCTTCTTTTTGTTCTCAACTTGCAGTATTGCTGAGAAGGCAACTTGCTTTTCAAGAACACACATACATACAATCTTTACCCTGCTATTCACACAATACTTTTTTGGGGGGAATGCTGGTACTGGGGCTTGAACTCAGGATTTCGACACTGTCTCTAAGCTTTTTTTTCCCTCAAGGCTGGCACTATCACTTATGCCATAGTTCCACTTCTGGCTTTTTACTGGTTAATTGGAGATAAGTCTAAGCCTTTTCTGCCTGAGTTGGCTTTGAACCATGATACTCAGATCTCAGCCTCTTAAGTAGCTAGGATTACAGGTGTGCGCTACCAGCACCTGGCAACATAATACACTTAAATTTTTTTTTAAAGGTGTATTTTGGTTTACTAAAACGTGTATTTCTACTGAGTACCTATTATATGTTAGGTATTGTATAATGAACAAGGGAAGAAAACAGTTCTTGCTTGTGGGAGACACAGGATCTTCTGGTGAGATATCCCTACAATTAGTATACTCTGATAAGATAAGCAATGAATCATTGTCATCAAGGCTGTATGACTGCAAGGATAAGCAAGCAGTAATACCTGGAGGGTCCTGAAAGGACTTACAGAAGAGGTGGTAGGTTTGAAGGATGAACAGAATCTTGTCAGACCCAGAGGGGGTAAAGCTAATACCATATTCACAAAATGGCTATAAGGTTGGAGAACAATGGATATCTGGAAATGAGACTAAAATGACAACTAGTATTGGAAGTCATGCTATATATAGAGTATGTTTTATTCAAAAACATAGACATTTTTAAGAGGGATAGATGCCATTAGATCTGTTTTAGAATGGTAAATTGGCCCTTTAAAAAGGCTGGGATCAAGCAAGGAGCCAGTGGCTCATGCTTGGAATCCTAGCTACTCAGGAAGCTGAGATCTGAGGATCAAGATTAGAAACTAGCCTGGGCAGGAAAGTCCATGAGACTCTTATCTCCAATAAACTACTCAGAAAAGGACAGAAGTGGCACTGTGGCTCTAATGGTAGCGTGCTAGCCTTGAGCAAAAGAAGCTTAAGGACAGAGTGCAGGCCCAGAGTTCAAACCCCAGAACCAGCAAAAAAAAAAAAAAAAGGCTAAGAACAAAGTAAGGAAGATTGAGTTGGGGGCCAGTTTCAAGGTTAAATAAAATAAAGGCTTAGTTAAATGTAGTGACATTGGGATCAGAAAGTATGAAGCAGTACTATAGAGGCAAACATGTTCACCAATACTTATGTCTCCTGAGGACAAGGGCTACAGAACTTCTGGAAGATTCAAGCAATTTTTTCAGAGGGATGAGGATAGTGAAAAGAGATCCAGTAAGTGTGAATGAACAGCTGATAACCCTCTATCAGAAAGCTGCCGTGCACCAGTAGCTCATGCCTGTAAGCTATAAGGTCTAAGGTTCTCCAGATAAATCCAAGAGATTCTTTTTCTTTTCTTTTCTTTTTTGATTGGTCATGGAGCTTGAACTCTCGGCCTGGGCGCTGTCCTTCACTCAGCTCTTCAGCTCAAGGCAAGAGCTCTCCCACTTAAGCCACAGCACCACTTCTGGTTTTCTGGTGGTTAATTAGAGATAAGAGTCTCATGGACTTTCCTGCCCAGGCTGACTTTGAACCATGATCCTCAGATCTCAGCCTCCTGAGCTAGGATTACAGCTGTGAGTCACTGGTACCTGGCTTCCAAGAGATTCTTTATCTCCAATTAACCAGCAAAAAAAACCCAAAAAAACAAAAAAACAAACAAAAAAACTGGAAGCGGAGCTATAGCTCAAGTGAAAGTGTTAGAAAAAGCCAAGCAAGAACATGAGTTCAAGCTCCAGTATATAGCACACATTCTTGTATATACGTGCATAATACTCACAAACACACACATGAATTCAGTTGGAACAGAGGGAGATCAGGAGAACTGAAGAATGGTATGTGACAGGCCTTACTGTAGAACATATAGTATTTGATCCTTCCCAGTGACTGAGCTGCAGAGAAGCAGCCATAACAGCATACTCTAAGTCCTGGCCTGTTGGCTTTTATTAATTAACTACACTCCAAGGGCTTCCTCTGATCTAGAAATAATCTCAAGGGAGCATTAGATCTAGAAATATAATCTCAAGGGAGTATTAGGAATGAAAGCAGGTATCATTTACAAATTAGTTTGCAACCTGAATCTTGGCTGATAGGTATATCTGCCTAGTCAGAATCAGACAAAATAACCTAATCTTGATCAGTTTTGGGTTGTATTAAATCAAGGTTTGAAAGAAAAACAGAGGGGGGATTGATTCAAGAAAGGGTAATGGATCCAAGGAAATATGATTCCTTGGATTCCTTCCTGTTGGCTGCTTTATGTTTTTAAACAATACTAGAACAAGTATTTTATTTAAAGTATCACTGATGTTTTGCAGGAGACAGCAAAAAGGGAAGAGTGTGACATAGAATGAAAAAAAAAAGAAGCTGAAGCTATAGTACCTGGCCTGGAGATCCTTCCTGCACTGCCACCTTTACTGCTGCCAATGCTGTCACCTCGGGTTAGGATAGAAATTCCACTGAAGCTGCTGGCTTTGGTGACAGGGGGTCGCATGCTTCGGACAGAGCCATCTGAGTCTGTGCTGCTCCAAGGCCGTGGTTCCAGGGATTTCAGTTCGCTGTCTGTGCTACTCTGACGGCTGCTTGAGGTACGGCTCAGCCCTTCACGGTTCCCCCTGCAGAAACCACAGTGGTCAGAGTACCCCCCCACCCACCACTTCAGCAGAAGGGCCAGGAGAGTTCATTTCTATTTTCTCAGTAACAAAGGAGTAAGGATTGGTGAGGGTGTAGGAAGTGGGGAAATGGACACTGCTTCTTGTTAGTTGGCTGACCAACTAAAATGTTATGGGAGCAGACAGAACAAAATCTAGTATAAAAACAAAGAGCACAGAGGCAAATCTGAGACAGTGTACTGGCAACAAATTCAATACACTGGACCAGAGATAGATGGGAAGCCACAGACATGATGCTGAGATTGGCTATGGTTTCTTCCTCAACCCCTATAGGCATCCCACACATACAGGAAATAGTGGAGAGGAAAAGTAGCAGTTCCTTTTGTGAGCTCTCAAAACAAGGGATTCCTTGAAATTTCTATTACTAGGTGGCAAGAGTAGTTAGTTACATGGATAAGTCCCACAACAAATCTTCCACATAACAATTATCTAAACCAGTAGAGGTGCAGCTTGTGATCACCTGTCTAGGGGTTGCGAAAAGTAGAGTGGACAGACTGATAGTCTGGAATTTGACCCATCATATTTTGTGGTAGTTCTATGCTGGTATTTGAGAACAAATGTTCTCAAGAGTCTCTAATGGCTTAAATACTCAACAAGATCAAGGGCATATGCCCTTGGGACTCAGAATGTCAAGGGGCAGGGGGCTTGACTGCCTAGCTGTCTTCTCACTGCCTTGGGCTATATGAAGCTATTGAGAAAAGGAGTTCTTTCACTTACTTTGCTCTGGAACATTGGGGTTCCTGTCTGTGATTATAATAACAGTATGCTTCAAGATAGCCAGGGCTGGCCTGAAAACCTTGTCTTAAGCTCTTACTGCTTAATTAATAAGTAACCAGAACCAACAAGTTTCCCTTATATCTCCACTTCAATAACTACTAAATAAAGGGAACCAAACAGTAAGAATTTTAGTGTGTATTCTGGGGAACAATTAGGTAAAAGTCATGGTAATTTGAGCTTCCTTCTTTTTAGCATCACCTCACCAAAAACCTTAGTTCCCAAGATACCACTAGTGGTTTGTTATTCTAATAAATAAAAGTAAGCCAGGAATTGGTGGCTTATGCCTAGCTATAATCCTAGCTAATCAGGAAGCTGAAATCTGAGGACAGAGGTTCTAAGCCAGCCTAGGAAAACAAATCTCCAATTAACCAGTAAAAAGCCAGAAGTGGAGGCATGCAAAAACTGGAGTTCAAGTCCCAGTACTGGCACAAAAATAAAAAAAAATATTTTTCTTAAGGGGGTAAACAAGAATGCATTCTTGGGTGACATTGACCAAGATGCACTGTACTTATAAACTGACTTGTAGAATGGAAACTCTTTTGTACAACTACCTAAAGACAGTAAAAATACAATTTAAAAAATCTTTACTAGAACATCTGCTCCAAAGGCAATGTAGGAAAAATGAGTAAACTATATGGGGACCACTTTTTTTTTTTATCAATTTTTCATCACTAATTCTTCACCACAACAAATAGATATATGTATATACCACCTCAGTGCTTCTTTCTACAGTCAGAACAGGGATTGAAGAATATTCCTATTTCCTCAAAACCTTAACCCCTTCTATTAGTGTGCCAAAAACAAAAAAGGAAATAAGAAAGGTATAAATCAGATTCTCAAAGAACAGAACTAGGCCTGAAGTGAAAGCCAATCGCTCTGTCTCAAGGGACAGAAGGCCAGGATGCTGAGGACTCAATAACGTGTTTGTGGGATACAAGGACACATTAGTAGTAATGGATGAAGCTGTGCATTGCTAATTGAAATTTAAGGACAAATTAACATCTTTTTCTACCTAAATCAAACACTCTACTCTGTATTAGAACAACTCTGCCATTTATTTTCTTTTACTACTAGAGGTGAAGAGAGGTAGATGTAAACAAGGCAACTTTAAACCAAATACCTTGTGAAGGTATGGCCAAAACAGCAGCATTTCTGAACCCATCCAATTCCTCCAAGACAGTGATGGCCAAATGCTCAAAATGTGGTTTTTCTGATGCTCTTCTGGCTAACCTTGTTTAGTATACTACTCCTCTGAGAATCAGAGAATCTAAGTTGAATCTTGACAGGAAAGAGATCAGTTTCCTTCTCTACAAATAAACCAAACTCTAGTCATGTCTTTAATTTCACTACAAATATGGCAATTAGAGACAGCCACTCAAATTCAATAACAGTAACTGAACTGGGTTGTATGTATGTTAAAGAATGAAGGTAAGAACCAAAAGCACTCATACCCCATATTCTCAAAAGATCAGAGCTGATTCAGTTTTTGGGGGGATGGGGATTTGAATTCAGGTTCAATTTAGGCTTGCTAGGCAAGTGTTCTACCACTTGGGCCACTCTATCAATCTGATTTATTAACTTTTTATAAGTAGATTTAATGCTACAGAACAGTCCAGATTGTTGAGTCTTGGGAATGGAAGAGGTAGCAATCAAAAGCATTAAGAATCACTGTAGCCTCAAGTTCCAGTGGCTCAGGCCTGTAATGGTAGCTACTCAGGAGGCTGAGATGAAGACCATGATTTTAAAGTCAGCCCAGGCAGAAAAGTCCATGACTCATCTCCAATTAACCACCAAAAAGCTGAGGCTTAGTGGTAGAGCTCTAGCCTTGAACAAGAAAAGCTCAGGGACAGTTCTCAGGTAAGAATTCACACACACACACACACACACTCTCTCTCTCTCTCTCTCTCTCCTGGGGCTTATTTGTCAATGGACTAGGACCTTCCAAAAAACTGGGAAGTTGCATTGGTATTGTGTGGGCATCAGAATTTGCTGTACTAGTATTTGTTTTACAAACATAAACTAGGATACATATAAAGAAACAAAGAAGTTAGAGATGATCAACTAATAGCTTTAACATTTCTGGACTCTGTTTACATGTATGAAAATAAAATAATGAAATGTTTCGAAACTGTTTTAAAAATGAGGATAAAAAAGAATAATGGCAGAGAGTGAGAATGATTGGAATAAGTTTGTACATATGTGGAAATGTCACAAGGAGATCCTCTCTTGTACAACTAAAGTATCCTACTGATTTTTTTTAAATAAAGAGTTCTTGATTGGCATCCAAAATAGGGGAAGAAATTATTCAGTTTTGAGTCCATGACCCTATGCTGCATCTTAGATGACCTAGCTTTTTAATCAAAGCTCAGTTTGAAAAACAGCAGTTTAAAAGAAGATCTGAAGAGGTGAAGTCTACACCTGCTCACCAGATTCTTCAAGCTATTATCTGCACAGTTTGATATACCCTGATGCTCCACAGAAGAAAGGCATCATTCTTAGCAGTGAATCTGAATTAGGGCTCTGAATAGAACATGTCTTAGAGAAGAAGGAGTGTTGTTTGTAGAGAGCTGGTGTGAAATAGTGAAAAGAACACTGGACCAAAAAAAAAAAAAATCAGCCTCAGTTTTGTCACTAACAGCCATGTAAACTTGGGCTAACTAACTCTCTTTGCTTTTAGTTTTCATAAATATAAACCAGCTAAGTAAATCAGGATATTAAAATAATTGAAGCAGATAAAGTATGGCACTGAAAATTAATTCATCAACAAGAGTTGATTTAAAACTCATTTTAGGTATTCTGACTTCATCTATTACTCTTAGTGCTGAATTTAAAGTAGTCTATTTGTTTAAATGTTTAGGACTCTATTAAGCAAAGCACTCTGCCTGGGATTTTCAGATGGATCTTAGGGTGGGATGGTTTAGGGAGAAAAAATAGTTCAGAAAGCTAAAAATAGTTCAGAAAGTGATAGAATAAATAGTTCAGAAAGTGCCTAGAAAAATGCAAATCTGTCCATCATAAGAGTGGGAAATTTCATTATGCCTGTTTTCACATGGTTGACTAGCTTTTTTTTTTTTTTCCCAAGTGGTACTGGGGTCTGAATCCAAGGCTTTGTGCTTATGAGGAAGGCACTCTTCAGCCCAGCTGACTAGCTTTAGGAAAAATAGGGAAGGACCAACTAAAGACAGATGCTAATTAATCTGAATTAGATAGTCCTTATCATGCTTAGGATTCAAAAACTAAGAAACCTTTCAGAAAGGGTTATTTCTAAATTGTGGTACTAAATACTAAGGATCTCTGAACTCTATTTTTTGTTGTTGTTGATAAATTGGGAAGAATATCCCTAAAATCAGCTGTTACCAGTTCTACAGTAGTATTTTTCTTACCGCTACTATATATTATCCCCTAGAGTAAGACTGACAAAACAAAAAAGGAGATTCTTAAGTTTGTTTTTTGGAGAATGAAGAACATTAGGTACTGGGGAAGTTAACACACCAAGTAGCAGCTTTTGACAACATAAAGGCTAAATAGCAGACAACGATATAAAGGACATATTCTAAGTCCATTCTAAGGCAGATCAGTCCTTTTATGCATTGTCGCAAAGGCAAAACTACATAGGCATGTGCATTTATATACATACATATTATTTTTTCTTAAAGATGCAAAACATTCCCTGTACACCCCACCATCAGGTATCAGTTCTTTACATCTTTCCATATACTCAGTAAAAAAAAGTCAGAAGGTATCAATTTGTTTATCTTACTGGAGATATACATTTGAATCTTTCCAAAGTACCCAGTTCCAGCAAACTTCTGGGAAGGAGCAGGATCTATCCCAAACAGTTAGTTGGTCCCCTTTACCACCTAGTCAAGACTCAAACTGAAATCAGCAAGAATAAAAATAAAGTCACTGAGCAGTAGCCATTTTTTTTAATGGAAAAAAATTCTAATGCTGCAAAACCCACAAATATAATTATTCCACAAGTAGCCATGCATGGAGCAAACCTATTCTGCTGAAAAGATTACAGCAAAACAAAATAAAAAATAAAAAAAGGAGAGATACAGATCACACAGAGGTACCTAAAAATCTGCCTTCTCTTGTGAGAGCTAGAAGAAAAGGCTTCTTTGGAGAGTCTGTTGGTTAACATCAAAAACAAAAACAAAATAAAACAAAAATATCATTATTGGCTTATATTAACCTCACTGACAAAGTTCAATGAGAAGCAGGGGACATGCTAAGTGGTACTAACCTGATGTCATTTAGATATCCGTTCTGGCCAGTCTAGGTAAGGGGGAAAAAACGAAAAATAACTTATAAGAAAACAGCATGGCATAACTTAAAAGGATGTCCATGAGCTACGAATACCCAAGGTTCTCAAACCAAAGCTCACCCCACCAATAGGGAGAAGGGGAGCAGGGACAGGATGACCCACACCCACACATCCAATCTGACTTCTCACCTTTAATGGGGAAACATTTGAGATTTTTAGCCTTCCCAGAGTGTTTAAACATTAAGACTGTTATAGGGAGAAGTGAAATAAATATAGGAGGAAGAGAAATGTTATTAACCATTATTTCTTTTTAAGCTCTAAATTTATTGTACTAGGACTAAGCAGAGTAACTGTTGTATTTGAAAGGTGTGTTCAAAGGAAGGAGAGGGGAAAAGGGAGAGAGGAAAAATAAATTTAGTTTTTTGGAAATCAACCTCAGTGGCTATTCTCTATCTTCTATATTGGCCAAAATGAAAGACATTGTGACCTGAGACCCAAAGTAGGTAGGGTATTAAGAGCTTAGGAAAAATGAAAAATTAACAGCCTGAGGTAGTTCCATTGGGGATCATTTTTTTGACAAAGCCACTGAGCTGAATGAAGGAGTATTGTGGACTCTTAAGTCTTAGAAAAAGGTACTAAGAGTATCCAGCTGCTGAGCAGAGTGGTTTCTGCACACAGCAAAGCCTACATTGGGCAGCTTTCTCAATATATAGCTTAGGCTTCAGAGAAGGCTGCAGCAGCATTTCCATCCGAACACTCTTCTTGCCACTTCCCATTCTCTTCAGGTTGCCTATTGCCCCTCCTCCTAAACCTACAAATTCTACTCTCTTAACTAGTGGGTTCTTCTCCACATGGAATCTTTGGAAGATAGTGGGTTTTGGCTATTTTTCCTTGTCTAGACCTGAGATTCCTGATGTCTCTACCACAAGAGCTAGGAAGGTCTGAAATGATAGTGATAAATCCACAAGGATTTAACAAAGAATACATATATTAGTAGAAGCTTGAGAGACTAGAAATCAGGAGGAAAAAAGGAGAGAAGAGCTAAATGCTTTAGCTGTAGGCAGATATATTCCTATTAATCCCAATACTCTATTATAAACTGCCTCTGCTTTCCAAGTATCTGTGGTTTTGCTAAGGGCAGACTTGAAGGGACAGTCATTTTCCATGTGTTACTAAAGCAGAGGAGCATACTCAGATCATCAGCTAGGCTATGTTGTCACTGGGACTTCTTAATCTGAAGGGCTCAGAGCAGAATAAACTTTTAAGAGGCAATTTACATTAGGGGTTAAGAATATGCATAAAGGTAACAAGATGTAGGGGTTACAAATACATTCAATATGACCCACAATTCTTAGACCTACCATTTTTCAGCCTAAATTTCAAACATCAGTTCTTTCTCTAATTAGGCATGTCACATTAGGTGGTTACTTAACCTTTCTGTGCCTCAGTTTCTCATTTATAAAATGGGGACAATAGTGGAATCTCTTTCATAGGTCTGGTATAAGGGTTATGTAAATTATAGTATATAAACTATATAAAGTGCTAAGTGTCTGAAGGATAGCAAGTAAAACATAAGTATTTGCTAATCCACAACCTGTTCGACCTACAATTTAGGGTCATCATTGGCCACAACAATGCACAAATGACATCTCTCCTCTCATTCCATCCAATTGATTTGCTGCTAAAGGTACAGAACTCTCATTGGGCTATAGTAGGATAATTTGGAGCATAGGCTTTTCTAACTCAGAACAGAATTTCTTCTCCTTGAACTTGAGGTAAGAAGGCTTGTCATGTATCAGATTAAGATCCCAAGAAACACCTGGGTCTCTTGAGACAATGAAGCAAGTACACAGATCAGTTTTTTAGATGGAGACAGCATTTTTCTGAGATTATAACAATATTTACACACAAAAATTTTGTTATATGTGTGCAAATATTTTGGAAAGTTTTGCTAACAAAGTAGATGGTGGGGAAATGAGAGGAGAGTAGTTTCCATCTAAGTATACTGGTTTAGATTTCCTCTATTTCTAATCTGACTGTGAGATGTTCTGCTATCTAGATACTATATTTTCTGGAGATCTGTTCATCAATTGACTACCAAACTCTTTTTTGAATCTGTGTGTGTGTGTGTGTGTGTGTGTGTATCTTCTACTAATAGGCAAAGGCAATCAGATATAGGAGTAACAAATATATTTTATATGATCACAATTCTTAGAAATAAATTCGAGTAACAACTTGATATTGCCTTTCAGACTATGGGGCTATGCCTGTTCTAGGAAATAAAGCAAGAAATATAGGAAGAAACAGACTTCCTAATTAGATAGTAACTAGAGGGAACAGGGATACTCTCTGTGCATGTGGAATGTGTAGCTTGCAGAAAATGGATGCTAGAACAGCACTCTCACAATCACCAGCATATCAGAAAAACAAAGCTGGTCAAACAAGATGAATGTAGAGCCTGTGAGGACACTAAGTCTTCTACTTAGAAGCAAAGATGCCTAAAATGGACAGTGGAACTCTAAAAGGGTAAGTGGGAAAAGGGTATATAACAGGCAAGATTCAGGGCTCTGCTGAAACCATTTCTATTTTTGGTCTAGTCATATTTACCAAATTCAGCCAGTCCAAATTTTGGTTCTCTTTGTGTACTCTATAGCAAGAAGTATTAAAAATAACACAAATAAAAACCTGCAGCTCTCCAATAAGCTACACTGAATTTTAGAGGTCAAATCTGGGGCTGGCTGATGTTGGCTTTAAAAAAAAAAGAGACAGATAAAAACCCAACAACATTTATGGAGGGTTCATTTTATTCACAGTTCCAAAGATTAAGAGCTAAAAGCTATGGGCTGACAACTCTCAGAAGCTACACTTACCTCTCGGGCAAATATTCTCTCTCGGACCCTTTGATATTCCTCCTCTCTCTCTTCTATTGACTTGCTCCTCCTTCCATCCTGCAATGGAACTCTGATCTAGATCGATGAGCAGAATTAAGCTAGTTAAGTTCTCCTCGTACTGCAAGCTCACTGCACACCAGCAAGGAAGAGAAACCGGGAAAGTTTATGGTTGCCATCAAAAAAATGGAAAAAAAAAGAAATAAAATTTCCAGTCCTGGACAGGCTTCACTGGGTACATCTGACCATGCAGTTTGGGAGATCATGTTTTCTAGATGATCGAGGACTCTCCATCTCCCTACCCCACCCTCCCAGAGTCTCGAGAATAAAAACTATGTATAAGTATCGGGTTGCTTCCCTGTAATAATCAGATACTGTCCAGTCAGTAAGGATCAAGAAAATAGCCCTGGGAAAATAAACAACATTGTTTTAGAGGGAAAGTAATGGAGAGAAGTTAGAGAGGGAAAAGAAATAGGTGTTTAGCAGAGCTGAATGTAGAGGAGGTTTACAGAACTAGCAACTAACATCCCTTATTTAGTTACTAATGGCTTAGCAAAGAGGGCCTGGGAAATGAAATCCCAAGGGTGAAGCTAAACTCAGTCTAAGCATTTAAAAATTTTTTAATTGTATAGATTGAAAGCAGGCGAGGAGAGATAAACTACAGAAATAAGAAAAGAGAACAGAGCAAAACAGAGAAGACAGAAAAGAACATAATAGAAAAAAATGGGCAGAGAAAAGAGATAAATGAGGTACAGTAAAGGGAGGAGAGAGACAGGAAGAAAAAGAAGGAAATGGAGGACAGAGAACTTTACGTTCTCTGACAAATGTGATGAGGTGACCAATAGACAGGAAAGTCTGGGCAGATCATCATCTCTGACTGACTACGACCTAACTGCCCATTGCTGTTTGTTCCTCCCTTGGCCTGACATTTATGAATACTGTTATGGAGAGAGTATAACAGCACCCTTATAAAAACAAAGACCTCTGAGAAAGAGATGTCACCAGGCTATAGACAATGCTGACTTAATTCAGAGGTTTTAAAAGCTTCCGATGAAGCTTCCAAGAGCCTGTTTTTTAGGCTGATGTTACTAATCCTTATCAGTCTCAAAAGGCAGCCTCAACTTCAAGAGTTCCCACTTTGACTGGATTCAGTTCTCACTTCAGAACCTATATTCCATTAAAACTGTCTTACTAATTCTATTCTAAGACACAGGGTCCTTAGGAAGCTATCTTGTCTTGGTCCCTAAAATTGGAAACTAATGACAGAACAGACAGAGCACAATGGACTGAAAGGTCAGGCAGAATCCCAGCTCCGCCACCTTGTAGTAATGTGAATTTAGGTAACTTAACATCTATTAGCCTCAGTATTCTTATGTGGGGCTAATTACCTCATCTATGATGGGTTGTAAAAGGGATAATATATACAAGATAAGCAGAGCCTCACTCAATAAAAAAGCAATACTATGCTTGCTATTAAATCACAGACAGAAGATGCACCATCTACCTTAATATGATCAAGCCTGAAGCTGAGAGATGAAAAGTTCATAATAGGGACAGATTTCAATCCACTCCAATGTACCTCAAAGCCTGAATAATTCTTGATCCACAGAAAAAGGGTTTAGGGAAAATGGAGAGAAGGGCATCAGGATGGAAAGGCTCTTATTTTTTTTTTAAACTTGTTTTGTATGTTTATTTGTTTTCAATCAGACCCAGTGTGTTTGTCCTCATTAGATTAGATTATAGCACTTTTTTTTTTTAAAGGACACTCTCTAATATTCAAGTAGCAAGCAAGAAATTTCCTGGTCTTAAGACCATACAATATCCCAAGAAAATAAATTTTAACTTTATAGGTAAAGTATTATTAGTTATCATTAACTAACAAGACTCATACTGGCTTTATCCAACTATACTCTCTAAATCTAATCCCCTTTGGAAACCAAGTAGAAGCAGGCTTTATCTAAACTTCCTACTTAGCTAGGAAAACGAATCCCCAAAGAATCCCCAAACAATCACTTACTATCTAAAGGTGGGCCAGGGGTAAGGACAATAGCCAGACCCATAAATGAAGGGGCAGCACAGCTTATTCATTTATTTTTCTAGATGTAGATCATGAAGGGGATCCTGCTGTTTCCAGTATCAAAAGTCAAATGAACTCACTCACCTTGATGGAAGGAGTTGGGAACAGATTAAGGATTTTGCAGAAAGGAATCAGAGACATCTTTATAACTGGCTAAATTAGACTACAGCTTGTCCAGTTCAAAGCTAGCTCTAAGCTAGGAAAAGAGTAGAAGTGGGATAAAGTAGCCTTTGATGGGTCCCAAAGGAACCCCTATTAAAGAAAAAAAGACTGAAACCATCAGCTGGATCAAGGCTGAGGCAGGGAGGGACCTCATTTTGTCTAAAATAACATGTAGTTAGAAGTCAGTGGCAAACCCAAGGAATTTTAGCTCAAATGAAATCACCGAGCAAACCTCAGCACCATGTCTCTCTGGGGCTAAAAGAGTGGCATACAGCTTAAAAAGTGTAGCAGGTCCTCAATGTTAAGTCAGAGCCAACTTATAGCTCAAAATATTTTTCCACTTTAACATATTTTGAGTCTTTTCCATCCCCCCCCAAATTCTTTTCCCTTCCCAGTTTCTCTTACTGCAGTCTCTACAGGCCCACCCTCTTTCATTCTTCACCTGGTTATCATCTCGGTCCATACTGGCATCATCCCTCTTGAGAATGAATCTCTGTTGAAACTCTGTATTCTTCTCATCCTTTATATGTTCTGAGAACCTCTGTTCAGGGCTAAGATTTGAAAAGAAATGTGAAAGGAAGGGAAGAAAAAGACCCTTTTGTTAGGAAGGAGTCCTTTTTGGTATAGTTCTTTTAAATTCCACAACTCCTACTCAAGGAATGTCTAGACTCAGGCATCCAATGAGCCATATAAAAGTTTTAATGAAATTATGTTTGTTCTTTATACAACTGTAACTTCTTTTTCTTTAAAGTTATACCTGTCCTATCATGAAGAGGAAAAGAGGCTAGGGCCATCTTCACAAAATATCAGTGCCTCTATAGTCTGTGTCCAAGGCCTCAGAAAAAGTAGGAATGATGACAGAATTCCCTTATCTCCTCCCCTAGAAAAGACATCTTCATCCTATACCTTCCTTTTCTATCCTAAGAAAGTCTTCCCAATCCATGTTTTTCTCCCTTACATTCTTGTGTTGCTGGTTTTGTTGATGATAACAGCTTTCCCAGTTTGATCAACATTGTGGTCCATTCCAAAATAGGCAGCTACCCGGTGTAATAGCATCCGGTGATATGAGGTCATCTGAGGGAACTTCTTGAACTGGTTACTGAAGAAAACCAAGGAAAAAGGTAAAGCAAGACAAACAACCAAATAAAGCAGTAACAGCCAACTGCAGTTTTATTTTGGTATTGGGGATTGAACCCAGGGCCTCAAGCACTTTGCCACTTGGGCCATGCCCCCTGCTCTGTAATTTTTCTTGCAAATAAATAAAAGTGGATAATTTCTTAGGAGAAATGGATATATTATGAGGAAGACAGATATTACACACTGGGAATCCAAAAGGTTTCTCTAAATATTTTGTGGGTTACTTTGATGTGTTCTCATTAATACTATTCTTTATGCCTTGGTCTCCCCTACCTGGATGATGATTAACAAAAGAGAAAATCAGAAATGTAAGAAGAGTAAAATCTGGGATAAGACTGAAGAGAAGAAATTTCTTTTTCAATTCATCAATTACATGTTTGGTAACTTAAAAAAACCTCACTTGTTTTTACATATATATTTTTTTAATCCATTATGATTGCTTGTTCCCTGTGAGTAATTACTTCACTCTTACTGTAAGGGAAAGATGAAATGGATATCTTAAAATTGTAACTAAATTACTTTCCAATGTACCCTCCCACCTCTAAGCATGTATTTCATACAAGTAACTTACTTGTTGTCATTAATAAATTCCAGAATCTCCTGTTCTAATTTTAGCAGCATCATTCTGTCCCTGTTAAAAAAATTAGAACAAAAGAAAATACAACCCTCCCATAGACATTGAAAGGAAGGAATAAAAACACCTGTTCACTATGAAAGCTGAAAGAGGGTAGATCCAAACTTTAAATAAAGGGTCATAATGCAGAAGCTACTGTGCCTCACTAGCTTATCCTATGGTATTCTGAAAAAGAAAAACAACCCAAGTTATTTTTCTGTAGACCCCCTCCTAATTATGATTATGTTATTATTATATTATCCATATCAGAAATGTAATTGTTAGCAGCATATTCAAATAAGCATTATACTTTATGCTTAAATTGTTCTACAGCTTAACGAGTTATTCATAATTTTAAAGTCCTCAAGATTTAGCTTATGTATAAATCAATCACACTTCTCTTTTGGGCTTTTTAACTGGTATGCTTCCAAATTTTCATATTTCTTTGTCTCTGAATTCTTTTTCCACAGAACTTTTCTCAACTTTTCCAAGGCAGAATCCTTAATGTAATGGTATTCTAAATCCCTCACAGACTACAGACTATACTTGAGAAAGATTTGAGAACATCCTAGGTTCTAATAAAGGAAAACCTCTGGGAAGCTGCTTGGCCTGCTGGTCTTACTGGCTCTCCTTTTCCCTCTTACACCAATCATGTTATTACCTTGGGTTCTTTTTCAGTGTATTTACAAGAAATTCATGTAGATCTATTCCAGTGGAGTCTGTATATTCTTGGCTGGAGTCTACAACCACAATGACAAAAGAAATTTAAAAATAAATGAAACTTGCATAGTATCTAATCCCATGCCAAAGCCTACAACCTAATCAGAACAGATGAAATAGAAAAAGTCCCCAGCACAACAACAGAATGAAGAATCTGGGCCATAATATTATATTGGTATTTATACAGAAATATGTATCATTTTTTATTAATAAGAGTATTCTTGGAATGTCCTGATCAAAATAAAGCAGGTTTTACTCTAGCTAAGGAAAATAAGTTCCAGGTAAGAGTAGTCAAGGCTGAATTTTCCAGAATTTCAGGAAATAAGACAATATAAATTGGTTTTGTTTTTTGAAACAAGAGCTCACCAATGTATCCCAGGCTGCCCTCAAACTTCCAATCCTTGTGTCTCAGCCTCTCATGTACAGAGATTACAGGTGAATGGCCACCATACCTGGCTAAACATGATTTTTAAACTTAAGTTGTCTATATTATCATTTTTATGTCTTTTTGTTTTGAGTCCAAATGTTGAAAGCCCAAAAGTTCTACATTTTTTTTCAAAAAAGGAAAAGAAAAAAAAAAGAAAAATCATTTCATCTATTCCAAAACCAAAATATGATGTTACCTTGAGTATCTGCTACATGATTATCCATATTACCATTCATTTCAGAACACAAACAAAATAAGAATTGACTATTATCCTACCCTGGGTAGTACCAAAGTCCTCACCTCTGGAAAGCATCTTCCTTGGAACCTTTTCTTTGCTTTTATCCTTGTCTTCCTTTTCAGAGACATCCTTTGTAGACTTTTCTTCTTCCTTGTCAGAAGGACAGCTGATATGCAGTTGAATTATATCCTTAAACAAAGGGTAAAAGAAATAAACCAAAAGAAAAAGTTGTGACTGACTCCCTTGGTATCTTTTATTTTCCCTCCTTGGTATCTTAACAAATGCTAGTCTTGGGTTGGCAGCTTTATCTTACAGAAGAATATATATTTTTAATTTGTATGTGGGGGGGAGGGGTAGTATATGTCAAGACTAAAGTTTGAACTCAGGGCCTGCTCTGTCCACAACCTTTTTTTTTTTTTTTTTTGCTGCAGGCTAGTGTTCTACCACTTGATACATAGTTCTGCTTCTGACTTTATGGTGGTTAATTGGAGATAAGAGTCTCATAGACATTCCTGCCTAGGCTGACTTCAAACTGCAATCCTCAGATCTCAGCTATGATTACAAGTTTGAGCCACCAGCACATGGCATATTACTAGTAATTTAATGCTAGTTTTGTCCTACAAATAGGGTAGGCCGGGGCTGGGAAGGTGGCTCAGTGGTAGAATGCTTGCCTTGCATGCATGAGGCCCTGGGTTCGATTCTTCAGCACCATATAAGCAGAAAAAGTCAGAAGTGGCACTGTGGCCAAGTGATAGAGCATTAGCCTTAAGCTGAAGAGCTAAGGGGCAGCCCAGGCCCAGAGTTCAGGCCCCACGACCAAGAAACAAAGAAAGAAAGGAGGGAAGGAAGGAGGGAAGGAAGGAAGGAAGGAAGGAAGGAAGGAAGGAAGGAAAAGAGGGTAGGCCAAGCTTTTTCTGACCACAGTCACAATCTATTATATGAACAGATCAAGTTATAGTGGCTGTTCTTGTCAAAGGGTGGAAAACAGATCAGCTCTGGGATCTCCTTGTTTACATTATCCTATATGGTCAAGACATAAAGACCTCCACTTCATACCCTTACCATATTCTACCTTACTGAAACACTTGTTTTAAAGTGCTCTCTCTGCTGTTTTCTAGGCTGACATAGATGCTGTCAATGCTATACTATATAAAACAACTGCCATATTCAAAAATTACACTTAATGCTGGGCACTGGTGGTTCATGCCTATAATCCTAGCTACTCAGGAGGCTGAGATCTGAGGATTGTGGTTCAAAGCCAGCCCAGTCAGGAGAGTCTATGACACTCTTATTTCCAATTAATCTCCAGAAAACTGGAAATGGAGCTGTGGTTCAAAGTGGTAGAGCTAGCCTTGGGCAAAAGAGCTCAGGGACAGAACCCAGATCCTGAGTTCTCAAGTCCCACAACTGACCCCCCCCCCAAAAGTTACACTTTTAAAGTTATACTTTTAAAGGACCTACCTGGGTTTCTAGTGGTCCATCAGCAAATGAAGTAGAGGACTCTTCACATACTGCCAGGCTTCGTACCAACTTCAGCTTAGAATTAGACTGAAACAAACAAATTCACATATATATTCCCTTGGTGAGCATTCATAAAACATTCTCTTTTGACTCTGTTAGTTGCTCCTAACAGCAATAAGATTGTTCTTTTCCAAATAGGTCTAATTGGGCTGGGAAGGTGGCTCAGTGGTAAAGCGCTTGCCTTGCATACCTAAGGCCCTGGGTTCCATTCCTCAGCACCACATAAGCAAAAAGAAAAAAAGCCGGAAGTGGCACTGTGGCTCAAGTGGTAGAACGCTAGCCTTGAGCTGAAGAGCTGAGGGACAGCGCCCAAGCCCAGAGTTCAGGCCCCATGACCGGACCCAAAAAACAACAACAACAACAAAAAAAAAACAAATTAGACCAAATAGGTCTAATTTTCTGGGGCCTGGTTCACATAAAAGGTAATTTTTGCTAGGTACTGGTGGTTCACGCCTGTAATACTAGCTTCTAAGAAGGCTGAGATCTGATGAGCAAGGTTCAAAGTCAGCCTACAGAAATAAATCTGAGAGAATCTAATCTCTAATCAGCAAAATGCAAGAACTAGAAGTGTGGCTCTAGTAGTAGATCCACCTGAGGCCATTGGCCCTGAGTTCAAATTCCAATACTGGTATGAAGCAAACAAATACACAAGCAAACAAACAAACAAAAAAGAAGAATGCATTTTTTGGGGGGGGTGGTTGGTCATGAGGCCTGAACTCTGGGCCTGGGCACTGTCCCTCAGTTCTTTAGCTCAAGGCGAGTGCTAACCTTGAACAAAAGAAGCTATGGGACAGTGCCCAGGTTCAGAGTTCAAGCCCCAGGACTAGCAAAAAAAAAAAAAAGAAGAAGAAAAGAAAGAAAATAAGCAAAATCGATGAGCTCTCACCTTGGCTCTTTTTCTGGAATGACCATGGCTAGATGTCCGTCTCTGTTAGAAAGAAATATTAAAAGTAGAAAAAAATCCACACTTAATTAAAAGTAATATGTTAACCACAAAACGTATTAACTATAAAAATCATTTCAACAATTGTCAAATTATGACAAAAATTACGTGGTGTAGTTTTTGCCTTATTCCAACTCTATCAACTGTCACATGGATTACCTACAATCAAATCACCATTCACCATGAAGACAAAGAGTAAAAGCAGAATGATATAGTGGTTTATTGAAGAGATTAATGAAATTTTACTTTTGGATAAACCATAGATAAAATCCTCTTCTGACCAGGTGCCAATGGCTCATGCCTGTAATCCTGGCTACTCAGGAGGCTGAGATCTGAGGATCATGGTTCAATGCCAGCCCAGGCAGTAAACTGCGTTGAGACTCTTATCTCCAACAAACCACCACAAAACCAGAAGTGGTGCTATGGCTTAAGTGGTAGAGTGTTTGCCTTGAGCTGAAGAGCACAGGGACAGCACCCAAGCCCAGAGTTCAAGCCCCACAACTGACCCAAAAAAAAAAAAAAATCCTCTTCTGATTAGTTTACTTCTGGAAATGTCACTACCATACCACAAGGGTATTTTTTCCTTCCAAGCATGCTCACAGAAATCTATTTAATCCATAATAGATACGAAATATGATCCTTAACTATCATTTATAATAACACCTTTCAGAGTTCCGATGTGAGATACCCAAAACACTTGTTCCTCTATAGGGACAAAAATAGAAAAGAACCTTCATCTCAAATACTTCCTCCCTTCCTGAATATGAGAATTCTCCCAGTTCTAAGATCTAGATAGTGACACTTTTATAGCTTGTCTGGGTCAGAGATGTGAGAATGGGTAGGATAAAAAGATCATAAAAGATAAGCATAAGACTTCCAGACCAGAAAGAGATTGCATAAGGAACAGAGCAAAAACTAAGGAGATGAAAAATGAGGACCCTAGGAAGCGATGAAGGAAGGAAGAGTCAATTCATTGCTAAGATTTCTGAACACCTGAGAAGTTATAATAAAGGTTTTGGGGAAGTGGTTGGGTTGTAGAAAGAACTGAGGTTGGCTGTGTATGGTGAAACGTTTTTATGTTCTAGTACTTGGGATGCTGAAGCAGAAGGATTGCAGGTTTAAGGCCAGACTGAGTATACAGTGAGATACTGTCTCAAAAACAAAAACAAGGAGAAAAACAAAGGAGGGGGTAACAATGTTTGATAGGAAATGTACTCATTACCTACCTTACTCATGTAACTGTAACCCCTCTGTACAGTATCTTTACAATAAAAAAATATATTAAAAAAAACCCTCTCCCCCAAAAAACTGAGGCTATAGGGTAGGAGAGAATAATAAATCTGAGGCAGAATACCAGCACAGTCTTGGGGTTAGGAGAGGATTTCGCTTCTTGTCTCTGTCACAATGGAAAATGGAAAACTGGAAAGGTAGATAAAAGAGTAAGAAATGATGATGAGGGGCTGGGAAGGTGGTTCAGTGGCAGAGCGCTTGCCTTGCATGCCTGAGGCCCTGGGTTCGATTCCTCAGCACCACATAAGCAAAAAGAAAAAAGCTGGAAGTGGCGCTGTGGCTCAAGTGGT